TAATTTAAATAACGTTAACTCTTTTTTTTATAATGTTATACAAAAATTCATAATCTGATCCATTTATTTGTGAACACAGATTAGATTATATGAAAATCCAATCCAATCTAAATGGATTAGAAAATCCAATCCAATCCAATCCAATCTAAATGGATTAGAAAATCCAATCCAATCCAATCCAATTGAATTTGTGAATACACCCATGGTTATTTATGGTTAGTGTAACATGAAAAAATATTTTTTCATCAATAAACATTTTACCTAAATAAAGCAATTGATCTACAAATGATCGACATTCTAGAAATTCAAAAAATTTGCTGATCACTCTAAAATTAGCAATTTTACGTAATCGGTAAATTATTTTAAAAATAGAATTTTATGAATTTCATAAATTGAATCAATAATTTTTGGATCTCCTGCAGGTAACTTCCGTATTACTTAAAATAAAATGATTTATCCATTAATAACAGCATTTTCTCTGAAACTTATAAAGAGCTTCAAATATGAGGTGAATGCTGAAAAAATGTTTTTTAAAATAAATTTAGAAAATAATAGTAAATTTTAGAAGAGGTAGATGTAGTGAATAATGAATATTTAGTTATTACAGAAACTCAATTACAAAATTATCAACAGCTTTTCAAAAAAATAAAAATTTTTGAAAGTAATAATATAGGTGATATCAAAATGAAACTTTTAAATAAGAAATTAAAAAAATAATGAAAAAATTTTCAAAAAAAAATATAAATGAAACATTATATTATCAAAATTATTGTTTAAAAGATAAAATTGATGTTAAAAGAGCTTTTTTAAAAAATTCAAGTTTTGAAAGTTTATTAAAGTAAAAAAGTTTCCTTTTTAATAGGTTGGTTATCTTATTGATAGTTCAGGATTATGGCATGTAAAAGTAAAAGATAATAAAAAGATTAAGACAGTTTATAATTATTCTTTTGATGTAAAAGATATCTGTTTAAAAGTTTTAGATTTATTTATGAGATTTGAACTATAAGATAGAAAAATTTATGAATACATTTTTTTATTAAAATATCAAAAATTAGAATTCATAATGCTATTGGAAAACTTAACAATAAAATAATCTCATTTTTAACAATTATAAAGATTGTTAATTTTATATTAAGTTTTACTAATAGATAAGGACTTTTATTATCAGATATACAGTATTTATATTAATTATATTTTTAATTATATTTACATATTTTATTTTTATATTTTTGTTTTAAGATGATATTTCAAATGTGAAATAATAAAAATAATTTTTTTACCTGCTATTAAAAGCTATTCTTCTTTAATATCAAAAATATTTAATAGCAATTTAATAATGTGAAATTATTGAAAATTAACTATTATTTTAGTTGAGTTTAGAAAAACTACTTATCTAAAATAAAGTTTTTAACTCTATAAAGTAACTTAGGCTATTTATATAAGACTATATGATTTAATACTAGTAATTAGATTGTAGAAAAATAAGTAACTAAATGAAATACACATTAAAGTCATATATGAGAGCTTTTCAATAGAAAAGGAGGAAATCTAAAAAAAATTAAAATTTTATTTCATATGCTAAATATGAATTTTTTAGTAAAATAAGTTTAAATTTAACTTTAACTCATAAAAAATTTTTTTTTTTAGATTTTCCCCCTTTCTATTAACAAGCTCCCATATAATGAATGTAAATATTACAAGTAAATTTATTATATATCTTAGAATATGTAAATTAACTTTTAATTAACATTTTTTATATGACTAATATATGGGAGGTGATCAGTAAAAAAGGAAGAAATCTAAATTTTGGTTAAAATTTATATTATTAGACCACTTGGCTAATCTCGATCATATGCACAAATTTGGCTTAATAATAAAAATTAACAATTTTCCTGACCGCCTCCTATATTTAGAAAATGCATAGAAAAAGCTAAGTTTACTATTAAAAGACTATGTAAAAAAAATATAATTTAACCAAAAAAAAAACAACTTTCTAAATGTTAAAATATATTTATCTTAGGATTTTACTTAAATTCAATTACCTTTTTTATTACAAGAGATAAATTGTTTTAAATTTTTTTTTTTATTGAATTATTAGAAAAAACTAATTTTAAATCAATATTTTTATTTAGAATGATACATTTTTAAGTTTTTTTATAAAGTTCATATTTTTGGAATATGTAATAATATATTTTCTCGTTAAGTAAGTTATAATTAAATTTTAATTTTTTTATCACAAATTTAAATTTAATTTAAAAATCTTCTAACTATTAATTTGTAATTTGTTGATCATATACAAATCACTATATATAGACTATTAATTGATATAATTGATATCAGAATTAAAACTACACTTTTTTTATATATCTCATAAATCTTATTATTTCTATTATTAAAATGTTATGATACCAATAAAACTTATTTTAACTAAAGAATTTATTTCTTACCTATATTATGGCATGACAAAGTTTTAATGCTCAAAGAATTTTTGTCAACTGCACTCGAAGTGAATAAGAAATGAAATAAGAAGAAGAAAAAAAGACCCTTCAATACCAAGTCACTTTCTTCTTGCTGTTGCTTATGAGATATTATGTGAAAGTACTGCATTATTAAAAGTTTTAGAATGACTGTCCTCTCTTTCAAAGGAATTAAACGACTGGTATAGTAGCATACTTCTGCCTGCAAAAAGTATGAAGACTCATCAAGCTTCTGCAAGGATATAAGGATAAAAATCAAGCTCTGGCTTATCAGTTCAAATGTCATGGCGCTTCTTGGATACTCAGTTGTGGCAGAGAAGTAAACAATTTCATTTTATTCATTGCATTTTTCTCATTATACTCCTTACTAACTTATTTTGATACACAGGTGGTCTCAACAGTAGAATGCCTTAACAATACTTGCATTACTACTTGTAACTATTTAATCCTACACCTCACAATTTCATTTGAAATAGCACCTCTTTATCACCAACCGTTATCATTTCTTAAAAATAGTGAAGGCAACATATGCTTTGGTTAACCATAGTTTACTCAATGTGATTTTAATTTCACATTAACATACCCACTTGCTAACTATGGTTTACTTGCCCTCTGAGTTTTTATTTTCTCCATGTATTTTCTTCTTTTATTATTATTATTATTATAGTTACTGAACTTGTTTATCTATGTATTTTCTCAAATAAAGTTTTTGTTGATGCCATTTTTATCTCTTAAAATTATTACTGTGCTATATGTGCTAGATTGCTAATAACTTCCTATATATAATTTCAAAAATAAATAACTTTAATGAGCACGTGAGATTTTGAAATCTCTCAATTATTTTATCAAAATATTTGTTATTTCCTGCGTTTCTGAGCTTTTCTTTATCAAATTTCTTTAAATAAAAATTGATAAATTCAAACATGAAAAAAAAGATTCTATTGGCTTATATCGTCTAATCATAGTAAATTTTATAGGTAGTGTTCGATCTGTTATTAAAAAATAAATATTAATATTTTAAATAAAATCTTTTCATTTTTATATTATTTGTAATCTGTAATTTAAATTAATGAAAAATTTTTTAAAATTCAATTACTAATTTGAGAGAAATAAGAATTTAAAGTAGACCTATTTCTAATATATTTTGTGAATTTGGCATCCAAAATAAATAAAAATGATTGGCTAAGTTTATATTGCTCAATCATGTATGATTCTGAAAAGTCAGCGTTTTTTGAACTAAACTATATCGAGATTAACTTTGATTTAAATAAAGTTTAATCTTTTTTTTAACAGTTTTTTGTGTAACATTAACTATAAGAACTTTGGCACTTCTTCTTTTTTTTTCAATTTTTTAATGAAAATTAATGAGAAAATGACCCAGCTCCTAATTTTTACATGAAATTTTTAAATTTTATTGGTGCATAATTTGCACATCTTTTTTTATAAAAGAGGGAGAAAAAAAAAGTGAAAATCAAACTTCATCTAATGGGACATCGGTTAAAGTAAAAGAAACATTTAGTACAAATATCTTTAAGGGATAGACGATTATTATTGAAGATTCTCTATTTAAAGAGGATTCTTCATCTGAAAAGGATTTTATCTGAAAAGGATTCTGAAATACCTTCCAATGATGAGGTTATATGAGCAGATTCTGAACTTGATAATGAACCTAAAAATGTATTAAAAAAGCTGGTTTTCAGTACAAAAAATATCAAACTTAAATGACTATTTTAATACATAGGTAATAATATCCAAACCCCAAAAAAGCGCAAAGCAGCTGTAAAGAAAATAGCCATACAAATAGCAATACTATTATACTTTTTTTTTCTATACAAAATGAACTTGATATACAAACGGACGAACCAGAAGATCATGATAATATTAATTCATCAATCACAGAGTCAGAAATAAAAAGTGATTTTGATAATAAAATTGAATTAAAAAAGTTAATTCCTTTTATAGAAAAAAACTTCAAAATGAGATTCTATTACCTGAACAAAAATGGCGATTAAAAGCTGTACTTCAATATTGTTGATGCTATCAATTAAATATTAAAAAAATGGAAGCTAGCTTTTTTGTTGCATAACAATTGAATAAAAATAAATATTTTGCTCGTTAATTTTGAAAGTGAACTCATATGTTAGCACAAAATCAAGAAATTCCTGTTTTAATGCGTGAAAAACATATTAAAGTTAAAAGTCTTCTTGATGATGAAGACATATGTCATGAAATTGTTAATTATTTGCGTATAAATAAATTTGAATTTTATATCAGATTTTGTTAAATATATATCAGATAGTATATTTCCAAAATTAGGCTTTAATTGTAAAACTAAAATTGCGTATATACATTAATTTATTATTGAATTTTTATGTTAAGATATATTTTAATTATTTTTTTTTATTTAATTAAAAAAGTACAGCTCGATGTTGGCTTTATAAGATGGGTTTTCAATATAAAAGGTATTATAAAGGAATATATATTGATGGACATGAAAGAGCTAATGTTATTAAGTATTGTCAATAATTTCTTGTTCAAATAGCAGAGTATGATTATATTTTATTTATTTTTTTTATTAATAAAAAGTTAATAATAAAATTATTTTTAAATAGATATAAAAAGCTAATACCTCATTTTGAAGGAAATGATTTGGAAATTCAAATAAATCCTATTCTTAATGAAATGGATAAATTTCATATTTTTATTACTTATGATAAAACATTGTTTCATGTTAATGATGATTGAAAATCTGGATGGGATCCTGATACTGAACAGTCACTTTGAAAAAAAGGACAAGGTTGAGCAATACATGTTAGTGATTTTTATGTGAAACTATTGGAAGACTTAAACTTAATGAAGAACAAATAAATGCTGTTGATGAAACTTTCTACATGAAGCAAGAACAATAATACATCTTGGAAAAAATCATGATGGTTATTGGAATATTAAACAATTGATTAAATAAGTATATGTAATTATATATTATTTTATAAAAAATTTAACTTTTTTATTAATTAAATTTATATATATAGATTGTTAAAAAAACTATTCCTATCTTTAAATTAACACATTCTGAAGCTATTGCTATATTTGCTTTTGATAATTCTTCTTCACATAATGCTTATGCTTCAGATGCACTTAATACAAAAGCAATGAATGTAAATCCCAGTGGAAAACAACCAAAAATGTGTGATACAACATTTAATGGTCAAGTATAACATATGGTTTTTTTAAATGATCATCCAAATCCTGAACTACGAGGAAAACCAAAAGGAATGAAAGTAATTCTTCAAGAAAGAGGATTATGGAATGAAAAATTAGTTGGCTTTTGCAAAAATAATACACCTGAAGAAAATTGTTATATGCAACATATTTTAGAACAACAAGATGATTTTTGTACTCAATCTTGTTTAATTCGTGAAATAATTAAAAATTTGGATCATAAAGTTATTTTTTATCCTAAATTTTATTATGAATTCAATTTTATATAAATTTATTGGGGTGATGCAAAATGATATGCAAGAAGAAATTGTGATTACACTTGGCGAGGTTTGCAAAAGACTGTATCAGAAGCATTAAATTCAATTTCTTTAAAACAAATTCAGGTTATGCACAAAAGTCTTTTAGGTATATGAATGCTTATAGAAAAGGACTTAATGTAAAGCAAGTAGAATATGCAGTTAAAAAGTATAAAAGACATTGTATTATTCCTCAATCAATTTTTGAAGAGCTTTCTTAAATTTATAATATGCATTTATCAATTTAATAAAATATAAGTATCAATCACGTGATACATAAATAAATTTATAAATTTGGCACTTTTTAATCACATGATTTTATATGTTTATATGTAATTTATAAATTTGGCGACTAGACGATACGAGCCAATAGTAAAATAATGTAAAAAAAAAAAAATTTTTTTTCGTCTTCACGTAAGTTAGATAAGTTTGACCATTAACTTCATTTTGTGCGATCGCTTTAAATTCCATTTCACCAAATGCCAATTTAAAGGTAGTGAACATGCTTATCTTCTGACCAAACAATTTTAACTTTCCCAAGTAAAGTTCATTTTCCTCGTTCTTCACAGGTTCTCGCTGAAAAATTACGTGTATAATAAATTTCAAATATCCTAATGCTTTGGGTCGAACTCTTACTCTAAATTCTTCATTGATTCTTGGCCACGAGAAAATGCTGCTTCCGGAATGTTAGGAACGGAAACATTAAATATCTGGAAATCATCCTTTAATTATTTTTTGCATATACAAATTCCCAAGCAAAAAAATTATATCGGTCTTCCTTTTTTCATGAGTTTTATCAACCCCAGAAGTATTTTCGATTTAAATACGAATCATACGTAAAATCTTTCAACAACGGGGACAAACTTCTTCAAGATCAATTTCACAAATGTAAATGGTAATTTGATTCATAGAAATTCTCTTAATAAATTTATAACTTCATTTCCGAGTTCTCTCCTTAAATAATTAATGAATTCTATATCGACAAAAGTACCTCCGCAAAATTACGAATTCTCTTTGTAACTTCTCCTAATCCATTTTGTCGTTGTCAAATCTACCGTCACCACGACAATCAACAATCATGAAGTTTCTAAAGAAATAAAAAAAAAATTATTTCATATTTCTCATTTAGTAATAAATATTTGTGCGCAATTCATATGTGGTTAATTTATTAATAACTTGATTGAATGTTGCAAACTAATTTCAGATTTTGAAACTACCTATTCCGTAAAGCATTTATTTTTTAATTGATATTTTTTTTTTAAAAAAAAAAAAGTAAAAGAGATCAAAGGTCCTTACATTGATCATACAAGATATTAGGAAGAACTTTACAAAACACCAACAGTCATAAAATATGATGATTCCTACGAAAAAGCAGAATTGTGTGTTTTTCCGCATTTGGCAAAAAAAAACCAAGAATGCAAATTCTTTAGATTACATTTTATTGGAAAGTGCGTTAAAATATGAAAAATCATCCTTACCAGATGGATAAGATTATAAAAAAGTCATTACAGTTTATTTGGAAAATTTATTAAAAAACAGTTACAAATTCGTTGGAGACATTTGATTTAATTTAGTTTATTTTTTTTTTCTTCTTCAAAGGTTCCTGCGGAATTTTATGATAATGCAATCGCATCATTTGCTTTTCTAATCCTTTTGGACTGATGATTATCGTGTCGGTCGTCTAAAATATAAAAATGTTATAACTAATAAACACTTCATATATGCTTAGCAACTCCCAAAAGCGAGTGTCCAAAATATTTGCGATCGACTCAACTTTGCGATCAGCCACACGTAATAATGAGAAAAAAGTGTAAGAGTGAAAGAGTGAAAATGGACTTAAATTATACAATGCTAAAGATAGATGTCAATTTTTATTTGCTCGTCTAAAAAAATACAAGAAAATTTTCATATAGAATATCAAAATTTCTTAATGTTTTGCCATATTAAAAAATTTTAGGTTATTAGATTAAATAAAGCTACCATAATTCCTTTAAGATTGAAACTATATCACAATTTCGTTCAAATCAATCAACTCAATACGCCACTAAAAAGCATTATGATGTCGTTAAATACTAAAGCATATTTACAATTTGGTTAAAATTATCAGCATGATACCTTATTATTTTCGTTTTTTCCATCTCCATAACATGAAACTTCTTGTGTTCCATCATCAGAAAAGATGGGATGACTATAAAGTGCCGGTTTTTCCGTTCTCATATGGAAAAGGCTGATTATATCACCATTCATCAAATGACCCGAGTCATCATAATAAGCATTTGAATTATGACGTCGAATAAGCCAATCGTCGTCATGATTTCTACCGAGACAGATGGTCACTAAAAGATTTTATTTGTAAATTTGAATTTACAGAAAGATTACGTGCAGTATATAATAATTTTAATATACCTTGCTGATGCTTCGATTGTGGTGCGATTTTCTGATCATGAGAATGTAAATTTTCTCCTGACATCTGATGCTTAAATCCAATGATAGTATTAAAGAGCACTGAGCTTCCCGTACTTACGCTTGTATCATGGGCTCCAATAACTGTCCAAACATCATTTTTCATATCTATTTCCTGACCATTACCAATGGCCTTTGTAACTTTTCATGAATAAAGTTGACAATATTAAGTATAAATAATCATAAAGAAAGTAATGAACTAATACCAGATATTGATAATTATACGGGTTTCTGACTCCTTTGGTAGACAAATATCTTCCAGTAGTCACATGGACAAGAGCAACTTTCGATCCATATACAATTTTTCCTTCTCTGAAATTCATTATTTAAAACTTGTCATGGTAAGCAGTTGAAAAAGCTCTCAATGTGAAATCTAAGTATCTTACGAAAAAATCTTTCTTCACTTCTTCAGCACATAAACGCCAGTTGAAATAACGAAAGTTGCTATTTGATAAATGATCACTTAACCTTTTACATTCTTTAATTTTGTCATTTTAGATATTAAGATGCAAATTCACACCTAATTTCGCCATTAAATCCCATGTCGCAAGCACGTCCGACATACAGCGGTTTATCATTGAAGACAACTTTTTGCGTTCTAACGTTCTGGATGCCATAGAATCCTACCCATTCACCGTCTACGTAAATATCTAATCTCTTTTCAGAATCAGAAAGTGTATAGGTAAGATGGTACCATTTGTTTAACAAAAGTTCGTCATCAATCTCATAATTAAAAAGTCCTGCATTGACTTCCCAATTGCCTGTGAAGCGAGCATGCAAAGAGGATTTTTTTGGCGTGAGCCAGAGCCCAGGTGTACGGATATTATTAATGGAACCTAATCATTTGAGACCGATGTCATAAAAATTAAATTCTAGACGAAAAGTCCACAGTTAAATCATCATCTTGTATAATTATCCCTACTTTTGTGAAAAATAGTAGCCCACTCGGAATTATGCTTATGAAGTTTCAATCGTAAAGTCACTGACAGCTCGTCATCCACCACGGGCAAATCAGTATGTGCAAAGACTCGTTGATCCTCTTCATTAAAGCTGATTGGATTTGAAATTAGCTCAACCCAATTTTTGACGAAGTGTTTCTCCATTTTATCCATTTTATAAATATAACAAATAATAAATTGATTATGGATAACGTTTCATTTACTTGATAAAAGAAACGTTTATTTCGTAAAATGTTGTGAGTCCATTCCCTTTTATATCTTAAAACACAATAGCAATATTGTCTGGTTTTATGTAATCATGCACATCTGGTTTGAAAATAGAACTTTAATTAGTATTTAATAATCCATCGAGTAATACATATTTTTCTTGATACATGATAAATATTAGCAAAAGTATCATTCCATTTCAAATTGAATAATTCATATATATTTTACTTTTACATTTAATAAATATATTTATTTATCAAAAAAAGAAAAAATACGAATTTCTTTTTTAATTGGTTGGCAGGTTGGAACCGCCTAAAAAACCTTTAAAACCGACCTTCCGAAAAAAGCATGTTTAAATAAGCAGAGAATTTTATTGCTAGTCTCATCATTACAATATTTTTTTTATTATTGAAAATAATTGATGTGTAAATATTACAATAAAGGATTTCATAATATAGTAAAGATAAAGGTTTGATAAAGAGATATTGTAACATAATTATAAAATTCTTTTCTTTTCTTTTTTTAAGAAACCTCGCATAAATCGTACCATTCGCTTGGTGGATTAAATTTCTTAATTTCTTCGGGCATTTCAACAAACTGTACAAGCAATCCGGCCTCAACGTGCCACTATACAATAAATAGTCCTGAATAATTACGAAATTATGAACGATAAATGATTTTAAAAATAAAAACAAAAAATAATATACCTCCTACAATTTTTGTTAAGTGATAATAAGGATAAATATTAGTAATCGATTTCATATTATAGAAAAAAAAAAAATAAAGAAATTTTAAACATTCCATGTGACAATGACACGCAAATACTCCGGGATTGTTTGGTTTAAATCGAATTACAGACCATCTATTGTTAATAAAAAGGATATTAATGTTTATAACTTTATGTATAGAATCAACGGGTGGAAAATTACCCGTTAGGCGGTATTGTTGAAGTATCTCTTTGGATGGCGTCGATTGTATTAAGCTTTGAATAATCAGGAAACATTGTTTCATTGCCCCATCCAAGTACCCAAAATTTATGACCATGCTATATTAAAATAATTTGGTTAAAATCTTTTATATTGGGAACAATTTATTTTTTAATGTTTACTAACCAGATGAAATGGATGTTCCCCATCATCAGTGTCTAAATTTCAATTACTTATTAGTAGAGTTATCATGGTGCATCCTTCCTAAATTATACTTACTGATAAAAACAAGATCAACCACTTCTTGAGTATTGTTGTAAATAAAGACATTTTGATTACGTCCAAACTCATGACTACCGGATATAACATTATGCAAAGTATTGTTTGCTTTCAAATTCGGAACAAAACTTGATCCATTAACAAAGGCTCTCTCAATGCCATTTTCATCTTCCTTGAATTCAATATTCAAAACAATTTTTCTAGTAGCATCAGGAATTTTTTCAAGATTATACGGTTTCAGCAACTTTGCATCCAAATCTACACATCCATCCACGTTGTCGTCCCATGAGCGAGAATAAACGGGTTCGGAATCCGGTTGTTGTGATAGAGAATCTTTGTAATGTATAATAGCTTTAACAGTACGCGTAAGATGTTTCGTATTTTCTGGCAAACAATCTTTATGAAAGTTGGCACGCATCCAATAATTTGATTCAGGTGATACATTCGCCGTCACTAAAACTGAATAACGTTGTCCAACATGAATCGGTAAGCGATTGACTTTAAGTTTTCGCGTCAACGAACCGTCTACTTCAATAATTTCCATCTCATGATCATCAATTGAAAATGTGAAGGCCGAGAACCCGCTAAATTTAAGAATTGATGATTAAATTAATGGCGTATCACGTGACATAAATCACTGATTTCATATGTAAATTGAAACCTCGTGTTGATAATTCTAATGCGATATCTTTTGTTGGTTTCGAATGTGAATTTCGAGTAACCCGATTTCTCAATGCATTTTGACTTGTTCGGCGCCCATTCACAATTATAATTGTTTTTTCCATTGATAAGTCCATTATTCGGCACAGGCTAAACAAATATATATGAGCATAAAAAGCTAAATAAGAGTGATTTCTCTCCATTTGTACTAACAACATCTTACCTCATTCCCTTGGCTGGCAGGAGAAAGGTACCGATTTAAAAGAATCGAGGATTCATCATGATACCAATCTGTTATCAAAACGATCAGTTCCTCATCATAATCATTAAGGTACGGATCTTCGGGATCATGAATAATAAATGCTGCAACCATTCCATCGACGTATTGAGAGATGTAATGTGAATGGCTATCCAAGAAAAGAAAGAAATTAATTGAAATTCTATATATATTAATCGAAATGTATTTGAGCTTATACTTACTACCAATAAGTTCCACTTTGATCGGGTACAACAAAATCATAGGTGAACGTGTAATTATTAGGTATTGGACATTGTGTTTGAAAAGGAACACCATCCATCCAAGGAGTTCCTCTTTGATATAGTCCGTGTACATGAATTGACGTGGGTTCTTCCAAATTATTATGTACGTGAATTAAAACTCGATCGCCTTTATCAACCTCAATTGTAGGACCAGGATATGAACCATTCATACTCCAGATTTTACGTTGATACCCATCAGGGGATAACTCAACTTTTGACAGATATAAATCGAATTCACGTGTTTTATGCGGAATTGTAAATGTTGTTTGAGAGGATGCAAATATGGGATTTTTCAAGTTGAACGTTTCTCGTTTCGTATCGCCTTGTGTCGTGTCAATACTTTCAGCTATGGCGTTGGGCGCGGCAGAAATAAAAAAATTGCAGGATATTCTGATACATGAAATAACTAAAAATAATAAGACGACAAAGAAAAAATTCCACCTCATAATTAATTTTGTCATAAATAGAGAAGAAAGAAGAGAATGGTTGGTTTAAACACAATTTGAAGAGACATCAATATATATATATTTACGATCGTCCCCAAAATCTGTAAATTTTTTTTTGTCCGATTAGATGATTGTACCTTTTTGTACGTCTCCACATGGGGAAAGACTTACAATAGGATAGATAGTATGAGAAAAACCTATATCAAAGTTTGGCGTACTCATGGAAATTTTTTTTCCTTTTAAACTGATCCATAAACAAAAAAAGATTTGACGAAAAAAAATCTTTTCTAATTATAGGATATTAAAAAAATATATTTCATATACAGTAACTGTATCTAGAAAAATAACCAATTCCTTATGAATTAGGGCTTTATATTCTTTTTGTGGAAAGAATCATACATTCAGAAGAACATCCAAGATTATTTATTCCGGTGCATATATATTCATTAAATTAAAGTTAATCGTAATAGAAGCATAAATTAGAAATTATTTGCTCGATCAATTAAGACTTTTGGAATGGTTCATGCCATGCCGAAATAATCAAGCGCTAACATATGGTGACAATTGCATATATTTATCATTAGAGCACATAACGGATTTGTTCAGATGTAGAGACAGATTTTATCGAATGCGAGGTTATCCACATACCCACTACAGTACCTTGACCCCATTCTAGCATTTAAGTTGGTTAAGCACCATATGAGGTTTTAAAAGACGTGATATGATAATAAATTTAATAACACGTGACTATAAAACGTGTAACGGAAGTTCATGTATAAACAATGTGTAATACATTTAATTGTGCAAAAAGATGTGATAATTATCATCTTAATTTTTGATCATCAAACTTCCAACTTCTCTGATCAACATGGTTATATTGTCATACGATGAACACGATGAACACGATGAACGCTAGTTAAATATTTTTATATTCATTCTCAATCTCCAATTTTACCCCCCCCCCCAAAAATAATAATAATTTAATGGAAAATTCGAAGTGGTTAGAACAGGCTATAAAAGAAGGACATATAAATTTTCACGAATATGAAAATTTTTCGGACGTTGAAGTAATTGGGAGAGGTGCATTCGGGGAAGTATATAAAGCAACATGGAATAATCGTGGGATGATCGTTGCATTAAAAAGTCTTTTAAGTCCCCTAGAAGAAAATGTTAGTCCGCAGTTATTAAACGAATTAATCAAAGAGGTAGTTATATAAACTTTATCAAGTTCATTAGTGAGACTTAAGTTTAACTAATCGTAATTTATTATTGTTTTTTTTTTTTTTTGTTCGGGCGATTTAGTTGAAATTACATAGAAAAGTTGATTATCATCCCAACATACTGCGATTTTACGGAGTTAGTCAAGGTAAACAGCATAGTAATTTGAATTGTTTGCCATTCCTTTTCGTGAAGTTAACAATTAAACCTTCTTTTTGATAGATATAAATTATAACAAGTATTTGTTGGTATTGGAGTATGCAGATGGGGGAACTCTCCGAAGATATTTATCTAAACATTTCACATCATTATCATGGACTGATAAATTAAATCTTGCAAAACAATTAGCAAGTGGCATAGCATGTTTACACGAAGAGAACATAATTCATCGAGACCTGGTGAGATTCCTTACCTATTAAAGCTCTTCATTTTTTTTTTATTTATTTCTACAAAATTTGATATTAAACCTTTTCTATTTTCTAGCATTCTAGTAATATTTTGGTGAGCAAGGGAGAAATAAAAATAAGTGATTTTGGGTTATCAAAGCACTTAAGTGAAATTTCAAGTGCGATATCAGAAGTAAAAGGAGATATAGCATATATTGAACCGCAATGTTTGTCAAATTCTGGACATAAAAGGAATGTTAAGTCAGATGTATATAGTGTTGGAGTTTTACTGTGGGAAATTTCAAGTGGTAGATCACCATATGGTTTATTAACTCCTCAATCACCGTTGGGTCGTTATGAACTTGCTTGCAGAATATCACAAGGAGTACGAGAGAGTCCGATTGATGGAACTCCACAAGCTTTTATTAAAATTTATACTCAATGTTGGGACAATGATCCAGATAAACGACCAAATATTCATAAAGTAATAGAAGGTCTTAAAAACGTTCATCTTGATATCAAGGGAACTGAGTATAATAGTCGATCAAATATTAATAAGTCCATCGATCGAAGGAGTGTTTCATCATTTCCGGAAATTTCACCGGATTTACTGAATGCGATTAATGATGTTGACAAGGCTTATCATAATGGTCATATTATTGTTGCAGAAACAAGTTCAACGAATCCGGATTTATCATCGGAATTGATGAGTGCAATTAACCAGATGGATAAGGTTCATTATAATAATAATTCCGACAATGTTACGGAATCACGTTCAATAAAATCACTTAGAATTAATAGCTCAGCATCATCAAATTCTCAAATCACTAGTAGTTCTTTAAAAAGTCCGAGATTACCCAAATCACGTCGTAGTTCATTTAATTCACCACCATCATCTCCTACATCATTAACGCACGGTAGAATTCAAAATACAGATAAAGCCTTCTTGGAAGAATTGTTAAAATTCTTTGAAGAATTGATAGAATTATCTCCGGATACAACTACAATGATCTCAAAGCTAAAAGGATATTTACATAATCGTATGAGAGAACACAAATCAACATTTAAATTATTAAACAAATATCATAATGATGTAAGGTTCGCTTGTTTGATTGGATATTTCATGGAATGTGCTATTGGCACCGCACAAGATAAATACGAAGCATTTAAATATTATCAAAAATCTGCTGATTCAAAAGATTCTAATGGTCAATATTTTTTAGGTAGATGTTATTATCGGGGTTATGGAATCAAACAAGACAGGAAGAAGGCTTTTCAATTTCTTAAAACAAGTAGTGATAATGGTAATAGTAGAGGTCAATGGATGTTAGGTTTTTGTTATGAAAGAGGCTATGGTACTGTTAAAGATCCTACGCAAGCTTTCAATCAATTTTTAGCTAGTGCCGAAGCTGGTAATGTTACTTCCCAAATGGAATTGGGTAGATGTTATGAAGAAGGTATTGGTACAAAGAAAAATATTCAACTAGCTATTGAATGTTATGAAAAATCTTATAAAGGTGGTTACACTCTTGCTAAAAATAAGTTGGATAATATATTACGAATACAACGTCGTCTTCAGCTATCCAAACAAATAACAGTAAATCCCTAAGGATGTAGATCATAACTTTTGGAATGCATTTTAATAGTAAATTCTATTGTCGTACCGAATATCATATTATAATTGCAGGAATCAGCACATTTCGTTCTACTTAAGCTGAAGGGTTCGGATTTGTTGCTTTTCAATTTTCAAAATTGCGTCATCGGGGTGATATATAATACATACTATGGATGATTTTCGTCCCATGGGTTAATCATTTTTCAATTTGCCAAATAACTTTATAAGGGTACAATGTTTTATAGTAAAAGCTGTTTATCTTCAATGTGTCAAGCACACTGAAGGATTCAAATTAAATTTCCATGTGATGAGATGGTACAAGGAATTTAATAATCTAATTTGAATTCTATATCTAAACCGGTTCCCCAAATAAGCAATTACTGCGGTCTGTAGTAGGGTCCGTAATTAAAGGAGAATCATTTTTTTAGCTTAATATCACTGTGATTTATCATTTGTGCACGATGAAAAAGCAATTATTATTGTACTCATCTTTGAATTATAACAAAATGGTGATTTCGTCTTTTTTTTTTTTTTTAATTCAAATAACATAAATTTCACGTCAAAAGATATAATAAATTTCAAACATGATTCATTAAAAAATTTTTAAATATGAAAACCGAATTTATTAATAACAATTAAATATAAAGTATTACATTATCATATTGGAACTTGAATTAAAATTTTATTTGATTTTTGAAAATTTTTTAGGTTGAAATGAATTCCGGAAACACATCCCGAATTCATGATGCGAATGCTTTATAAATTACTCGCAATTTATTTAACAAAAAAAATTAAAAAAAATAATAATTATTCTATGATCATTTTTTTAATCTTTAAAGAATAGTCGACATGAGGAACGCCTTGAGATAAACCGCCCATGCTTAATATATCAATATCTAATACAAACAATAATAAAATTTGAATATTAAAATGAATTTAACAATTTGATGACAAATGATTAGACCTACCAGGTGAAAAATATTCAGTTATATTCTCTTCAGTAATTCCACCACTCGATTCAATCAAAAAACTTCTCTTTCCCGTCCATCTTTGTTTCAATATTGAAGCAGTTTGCTTTAAATTATCACCCTTCATGTTATCTAACATAATAATATCCGCACCGGCTTCAATAGCTTCGTCAGCTTCTTGCTCACTACGACATTCTACTTCTACCCGTAATGAAAAACCTCCCACTTGTCTTGCGCGTTCAACAGCTCTTGTTATAGAACCTTGACTCCAAATATGATTATCTTTTAACATTATCATTGAAGATAAATCCATGCGATGAGTATCAGCTCCTCCAACAAGCATTCCATATTTTTCAACAATTCGAAATCCTTTTAAATTCATCTCGTAAGTAATCTCTTGAAATCGATTTTAATTTAATTTAATTTTTTTTCTTAAAAAAAAAATTTACCAGGGGTCGTTTTTCTCGTTCCAGCAATTACACCTTGAAACCCAAACTTTTCCTTGAATTCAATACATTTCCTACTCCTAAAAAAAAAGTATGACTTAATTGACTTGATCATATCAAAGTAAATCAAGTAAATGATGAACTTTAGTTCCTCCGAATTAAATGACATACCTCGTAGCTATACCACTACAGCGGGCCAAAATATTTAATGCGGTACGTTCTCCCAATAAGATATCACACGATCTACCAATAACGCGTGCAACTTCACTTATTGGTTCGAAGTGATCTCCTTCTTTCAGATACCATTCAACTCTAATCAATTAAAGAGGCAATTTTTAGAAATTTATTTTTGTTTAATATATAAATTTATTTAAAAACTTTTTGAGGGAACAACCTGCAATTTAATTGATTGAAAACTTCCTCAAAAAATGGTATACCAGCCAAAACTCCCTAAACAGAATTTAATTTAATTTAATTTAAAATATATATACTTTTTTTTAAAGTAAAAAAATATTCACCATAGACTTTCCATATAATATTGCTGTTTTTTGTTCTTCCCCTACGACAAATCCTCCATAATCAAATGATGGCACATCTTCTTTTAACCAACCTCTAATAATTTCTTTATACAATGGGGATAATAAATGAGCATACATGATTTCTGACGTCAAAAAAAATATTAAAAAAAATTTTATAATAATAGATACCCTGGCTATTTATAGTTTTTAAATTAGTTACGCCGATCATATTTGTCGTTTGTAAACTAGATTATCCATCTCAATTCGTTTTTAAAATTTTCGTATATTTATTATATCTTATCATGATGAACTTTGTCCAAAATATCTGTCTATTTTTACATTTGCTATTCATTCCAAGATATTGATTTTTTCTTTTTTATAGATATATTATTCTTTATTTTCACATCATAACCTTGTAAAATCATTTTTTCTCTATCAATCAATCCTTTTCTTCCATTTCCGAGAAGCAGTGTATTCATTCAATTTATAGTTTACCTAGTTTAAAACAAGACATTTTGGTTTCAGATGGTAAAAAGAATATTTATTCATTACTTATTATGAGCATATACAGTATGAGTATAACGTATTGTACCGTATTCTCCATCTCTAAGTAAAATGTATTTCAAAGATCAAAACTTGAAAATATATTGTATTGAATCAAATTTATCGATTTATCGTATGCCCACAAATTTTACTAATGAATATACTGTATAATGTAATATCATATCGTAATTATATGTACTTTTTGACTTTTGAATGAAATCAATTTTATATTCCGATTAGATACACTATCAAAGACTGTGAAATAACCGGATTCGTACTGTGTCAAGAATCAATTTGCAAAAATCAATGGTTTGGCTTTATTTTTCTTAAAACCACTGCAAACTCTGTTGCATTTATACTATTTATGCTAATGGTTCTGTCAAAGGCTTCTGAATGACCGATTTCGACCGACTGGTTTAAAAACAACCCGTTTAAATTAGTAAACTAAGAAAAGAAACCTTTGATTTAAATTAGCAAATTTATATTCAAATTCAATTTTTTTTTAAAAAAAAAAATACGCGCCAGTAATCATTAGTAAATCAAAATATAAATAAATAAAAATTTTTAACCGAATGCCGAGTTAGAATAATTCAATAAAATCTTTTACTGGTCAAGCGGCCAGTCGGTCAAAGGCTTTTTACCGACCGTTGACCGACCATGACCGACCGTTACCATCCCTAGGGATACCCAAACGGCAAAGTTGAAAGCTGGAAACACAAACATTTGCATAGACTATCTTTTACTACCTAAGATCTGAACATACAATTTATTATTTTATTAATTACAATTTGTAGAATAATGCTTATAACAGATTTTACCATAATTTTTATTTCTGAGTCCCGAACTATTTCCATAATATTTGATCCTAATGAACCGATGGCTTCCGCCACAGTACAAATTTGTCCAGCATCTTTTAAACCATTGACATCGAAAACTTTACCAACAATCGGGAGTTCTAATCCTGTATCTCTACCTAATGGTGAACACATAATGATAGTCAGTACCAAAGCTCCTCCCATATTCACACCTTATCTTGTTTGCGAGAATTGGATGAAAAACGATTGCCCATTTTTATTTACTAATAAAATATGAAAAAAGACAATTTTTGATCAAAAGTTCAATAAATATATGTCAATCAACCACTTTATTTTTTTTTTAAAAAAACTTTCTTATATTTATATTTTAGCAAACCTCATCATTTCTACATTTTTTTTTATTTTTTTTTGCATATTTTATGTATATACTGTATATATATATCGGTGGTTTAAGAATTCTAAGTAAAGAAAACACTAATTTATATATAATATTTACGAAAAATCTTACGTAAACAATTATCAATTAAAACTTGATCTAATCAGATTCTATTAGGTTAAATACGAAACATAGCATCGTTTATATTTAAAAATGTTATTCCGCGCTTTAAAAATGGTTTCCTGGATGGTGCATACTTGCGTATAGAGTGTTCATTTTTAAGAAGAATTACTTCACCAAATTTACTTATATTAAACCATTTAAATTCCGTGGGAATCAGTCTTTTTTTATTGTTCTTTCTGGGAACAAACAGATTCTACAATGACCCAAAGTTTTAAAACCTGTTAAATTATCGGTTGACTTTATTAACAGAAAGTCAAATTTTAAGCATGTAAAGTTGTTATGTATTTAATATATCGAATTTTAGAAAATAAGACTATTATTATAGTACATATATAATAAAACAACATTCATAAATATATATATATAAGTAATAAAAGTACAATCTGCGCAATAAAACTACATTATACATGATACAAGACAAAAAAGGGAATCAAATGATGATCCGATCATACAATATTTTGTGGGGAAAATTTGGTCTCGACATGATTGGCGGTAATTACATCAATCTTATCACCTCGTGATTGACTTGACCAATACGTCCATATTAAAGTGATGAATGAAATAAAGCATAAAAACATATTAACGTAGCCAAAAGCAATCGTTGCGTTACCGATTTCTATGCCGACAAAAACTAACGTTTCCAATTCACCCTTTTCCCAAGGTAACACTCTTGGAAGCATTTCGCTTTTGCTCCAAATTTCGAACCCAGTTACATGCGTCAACTTAAAGACGGCTATAAAAATAAAATAAAACATTTCAGTTATCACAATTTTTTTTCAACTCAATTAAGAATGAATTACAAATTATGTAAGTACAATAAAGAACCCATATGGTAAGTAGGAATCTATAATTGAGAAATATTACATGTTAACAAGTAGATAATAAATTCGTAAACCGTGTCATTATACGTGTACATAGGAAATGGAAACTTACCCCTGACATATAAAATCCCATTTATTTGGCACTTTTTTCCATTGCTTTTCAATTGATATCATGTAATATCCTATGAGTCGAAAACAAATGCATTCATAAATATTATATTACAATGAGAAGAAAAAAAATTCCATCCTTTAGCGTACCGCTTAATAAAAGCGTGATGATGTTTGGAATAAGAAGGTAGGCGGGATAAGGTGGACTGCTGTGAAAAAAAAACAAGTTTTTTCATAAGTTCATTATTATAATCCAATAAATTTACATTTAATGCCATTTTAATTACCCATTCATGTACTCCAAATAACCGGTCGAAATAATGGCATCTGAAATTTAATAAACTCATAAGAAATAGAATAAAGTTTTCATTGAAAATACATTATATCAATGAAAATACCATTGACAAAAACTATTGCAGCAAAAGTGAATTGTAATGTTCGTAAAATATGTAAGAGCAACATTATGATTATTACAATGATATTTTTTTTAAAAAATGGAATTCAAATTTATTTAATTTGCGAATTGATACGAAGATCTTATCTTAATGCGACCGATTATCTTATTGTCATCACCAAAAAGATAATGATTTCCAAGTTTTATCGTTATCGATCTCAATAATTTCCTTAAAGAATTGTTCCCAGCTCAGAAATTTCGAACGGAAACCACATTAATTGAATTTGGACGAAAAATGAATGCAAAATTTAACTAATATAAACAACAATTTAAAGGGAACGTGTTACGACATGCATAATGTATACATTATTACCTTAATATAGGGAGTGAATGAAAAGTATATATTATAATTTTCTCTGAAATTAAGATGATAATTAAATAGTTTGAAGCAATTATCTTCTCCCTCTTCAAAAAAAAAAGAAAAAAAAAAGAAAAAAAACCATCACATCCCTTCTCGTCGTATACTGTTATAAATGATTCTGGGTGGTCGTAAAAATAAAACTACTTCTCTGTAACTTGTGCAACACTTAAATGTTTTTGTGTTCACAAACTCCGCAGGAGATTACATATTATTTAGGATTAAGTAATATCAATAAAATTATAATTTGACATTCAAAATTACCCATGAAAGTCTCTTGAATGATTTTTTTTTGAACTAGAATTTACTTTGAAATTATGATATTATAAGATTATGAAAGTAGGATGGAACGATGTCACGGATGTATCCTTGAGGACGCACTGTTTAAAAGTAATCAAATTACACCAAAAATCGTATAGATTAAGACAACGTATTCAATTTTTATTTTTCTAAAATAGGAAACAAGCAGGGGTATGTCTAGAGATCACGTAGGCGGAGGAAGGAATTTGTCAGGTTAACACTTACCAGTAAATTGTAATTCATCCAGATTACAAATTAAATCCAAAAACGTGCAGGTTTATTTATATCATAAAACATGGTGAATATCCTGAAGTGGCAAGAGGGGCTTTGAGATGTCACGTGGTCCAATTGGTTGTTGATTTTTAGAAAGAAATCACATGAATAAGCATAACTTGATTGATAATCAAAATTTTTGTTTCAACATAATTATTAATCATTTTTTTAAAAAAGAACTTGTAATTCTGTCATGATTGGTTTTCAAGTGACACGTATTCATGCTTCTAATTCTGGAAATTTTGGTGATTTGTTAATTTTTTCGTGTTTATTCTTTATGACTTTGTGTTCCGAACCTCTACTCTTGTGAAATTTGTTTTTTTCAAATGGTACAATAATTGATTTGTTAAATGCCAAGATAAATGCCAAAATAAATATATTGTATTTGATAATTATGATTTATTATAAAATCAAGCAGGATCCAATGCGCGTTTTTATCTTCGCACATTAGCATTGTTTTGTTCGTGACACAAGCGACATTGTTGAAAGGGTCATGATTACATAATGCATAAATTCGGATTAATAATTTTAAAAACGAAAAACACACCAGTATTTTCATCAAATTAAGCTCATCATTTACTTTTTGTTTTATTTTTATTTTGTTTATCAACCCTTTCTTTTTCTTTTTATAAGTAGCACAAGCAAATAATGAGCTTATTGGCGTGCAAATAAATATGCAAATTAAGTCCAGCCCCTTAATTGATATTGTTCAAAAAGTAATCGTTCTTTTTTGGTTTATTTTTATTAAATATAGATTATCATTATACTACTATACAATTTTATCGTACACACTTTTTTTTGAGTGGTGAATTTTATTTTCCCCCTTTTGTTTTAAAAAAAGAAATGAAAACAGAGCTTATTGATCAATGTTTAGGAAGATACAGTAATTGATTATAATTGAATACTAGTATCAAAACTATTATCCATTCCAAATCGCTTAATTTGATTTTCTTGAAATTTAGGTTGGGCTGTCAGCTTCCTATCGGTAATCACGCCATTATTGAAGATGAAAAATTAGTCACATGACATTATCGCTCATCATCGTTGACATGGGAACATACTTGTAAAAGACCATAATTCCATTGAGAAGTCCGATAATCGGTGTGAATATGTTCCAAAAACTATAATATAAAACGTTCAATCCTTTAACGTATACAACCTTTTCCTTATAAAATAATGCGAATGTTAAAGTAATGATGATATTAAATATCGATATCACTAAAAAGGTTATCAATGGAACGTTTATCTATAAAATAAACGATTTTTTTTTTTAAAAAAAAAAATTAATAAATGAATAAATAAAAATAAAAAAAATAAATTTCACGATACTAACATTTCTCTTGGCCCTTTTCAGAGTATTGATATCATAACCGCTAACGACATTATTGGAATTAACCTCTCGTACCCTTCTTTGATTTTCCAATTGATTTTCAATTTGGCAATTAATCACGTTAATAAGCCTACAATAAAAATAAACTACCAAAAGAATGTAGATGATGGAAAAAATTGTCCAACTTAAGAAATGGATTTTAAAATAAATTATAGCGGTTTTAATATCATCCCTATCAGCATAATATCCGGATAATAATGCTGTCGGAACGGCGAATAGATATGGATGAATCATAAAAATGAATCCAATTACATCTATAAATGTTTTATTTGTTACCACGCTGGAACCTTCGGGATCCGATCCAATATTTGGCGTTGAATAAACTATTTCAATAATAGTAGAATTTGTTGAGAAAAAAAAAACAAAATAAATATATATATATATAAAATAAAGAAATGAAAGCATATTGCAACTTACTGAGACTTATCGGGCAGAAAATTGCAAGTGAAACACATATTGCAAGCGGTAAAAAATGACCCACTATTTCATCGTATGGGAAAGGGAAACTTCAATCATCGAGAATCAAATTAAAAAATAAATCTTTGAAATGTATCAAAAGGGCTTACATTCTGCATAAATGACATAAGGATATGATTCGGTGATCAAACATATCACATTAAATAGCAGCGCTAAACGGGAATGACTTATGTTAATTAAATTATGTTAAAACAAAATCATATGAAAGAATGGGATGCCTTTAATTAGGGTTTCCGTTTGATATTCAAATTGAGCTCGAAAGTTTCGATATTGGTACTCGAATATTTCAAACGGAAACATTTAGGCTTTAACTTACCCGCATTATAAAGTAAAGCTATCAACTGAAATGAATGTACAGGTCTTGGCCTGATAATGCCTCTTTCTCTCGTAGAAGGGAGAAATAAAGGCTGTTTCTTTACTTTAATTAAATAATAAAGTATAGCTATTCCCATAATTACATTTAATGATGTCAATGTGAGCGTCACCCAACTAGCCTTTGCGAAGAATTTATTATCACATCGATAAATGTTTATACGAAAATCGCATTCGCAGTATATTTCATTTATATTTTGATCAAAACGACACATTCGCGTATATCGATTTTCAAGTTTAACCATTAGAAAAGATAGGGGTGAGAAGTGAGATATTATATTATTATGAACAATTAAAAGGGTAAAATGTGAAAAGCAACCAACTCATTGAAAAGAAATGAAGAAAAACAGAAATTATTTATAAGATCGACTGAATATCCTTGTTGTACAGTGAAGCGGTTATCAAAAATATACTCGTCGTTCATAAATTTACTTTAAAACATATATGAAAATTTTTTTATTTTACAATAGTCACCCTTTTTATTATGTATCATAATTTATCAATTTTTCGGATAAATTCAAATTATTTAAAATATAGTTTTTTTTTAAAATATTAAAACCGTATTATAAAAATTCAAAAAAAAAAATTTTTTTTATTTATTAGTTTTTAAAACAAAGATTGTCAAAATAGGAAATTATTCTCGGTTTTTATTGGCGCGAAAAGTATTTCAGGTTAAACTTATAAGCTTATCATGACGATCTTAAACAATTTCGAAAAACATCAACAAATCCGTCATTATTACCATGTTGTCAATTAAAAAAGTTACACTATTTAATTATTTTCTTTTGATTCAAATTCTTTAGCTGGTCTTGAAAAAACACGATCTTCGAATATTAACCGAGTTTGAAAAATGATCAAAAGTACAAAATTTAAAAAGAATGAGATCTTTTCTATTCTTTTCTTCTCTTTTTTCATTATAAATAAAAAACTTTTCACACAAATGGAATGGTATGGTGTATATTATGATAACACACGGATATACTGTAAATGGTAATTATTTATTAGAATGAAAAGTTTTTTATGAAATGGTTTATCCTGATAATATTATTATATACTATATATACTATATGTATTATTACTAATATCGTAAATAGTGTGCAACAAATAATGCCTCTATTAAATCATTAAATAAGATTCTTAAAACATTGCAATATTATAGAAATATTTTTTGTTATTATCATCATAATAATGATTTATAAGACGAAACTGAGAAAAAGAAAAATCCATAAAGTTGTCACTTTTGTATATTTTAAGGTTGATGTATAATTATCCTTGTGTTCGTAAATATTTTTAAAAAAATATCTCAATTTAAAACAAATAGTTACAGCCATCATCATCATCGTCATTTTTTTTAATAATAATGATAATGATAAACGAATCTCAATTGCAGGATTATAATTGGTGTAGTACAAATGTTAATAATGCTCACTCTGACGATAATAAAATAGACGATTAAAAAATCTCTAGTTGCGCAACGCTCGTTCAGTTATTTATTAGTAATAACCAATTGGATGCAAATATATGACGTATATGACGTTCATGGTGACAAATTGACGAATTTGGAACGTTCTTATATATGTATGCCTGAATGTTTGTACAGTAGGAAAAGAAAGTATTCGCAATTTGTGATATTTATATTAATTATAAAATCGCGAATACTTTCTTTTCCTACTGTACGTATTCAATCAAATCAATGTATCAGATTTTAAATAAAGGTATGTGTAAACGGTTCCATGCAATTAGAATGATTGATTTAATGGTATAATATTAATTAGTGGAACAAAAGATGTCACGATTATTTTACATCTGAGATTCGAAAATCTCAAAGTGAAAATGATTACAATTAATATTTCTTGGAAGACCAAAAGTATAAACTAGAATTAAATATCGTACTATCCATAAATAAGAAATTAATTATTCTTGCATTTATTTTTTTTCGTCAACCTATTTTTCATATTTATATCCCACAAAATTAATGAAGAAAGGTAAGGTCGTAACGCTACATAAATTCTGTTACTACTCTTCATGCTAAATTGGTCCATTTTATTAGACGCTTTCTGATCCTTGTGAGGATATGAATTATAATGAGTTTGAAAGAAAATGGGAATATCAAAAATTGCACGTGATTTTACGATTTTATCGCGACTATAATTCTAGTCAAAATTTATAAATTTTTAGCAAAACTACCAAATTTATTATAGCAAAATAAATGTAAAATATAAATATAACAATTAACCATCCAAAAAAATTTAACTTTATTAACTTCATTAACAATATTAACTAATTAAGGATTTAATTTTTTCATTAATAATAAATTGTAATCAATATTACCAGTTATAATAATGTAAAAGAAAATAAGCATTTTTTTTAAGTGCCACCCTTCTATCTGATAAAATTGTTTTATAACTAGAAAAGCTACATTCAACCAAAACCAGATACTGGTAACCATATATATATTAATGCTAATGCATTAAGTTCTGGTAAAAATATCTTTTACTCCGCCAATATACTGTACATTTAAATTTACAAATTCCTAAAGTATCAATAGGAAAATGAAATTCATAATCTGTCATATTAAGATTTGCTATATTATATTGAATAAATCTTATATCAAAGCATTATATTGCTTTAAATAATGATAAATCTGAATAGTGAGAGAGATGTTTTTCATCTTTTTTATTAGTAACCCAAAAAATAAAAGCTTGAAAAACAAAATATTCTTGAATAAACAAATGGGACTATTGCTTTATTTTGGATTTTACAGCTAATTTCATAATTCGTGGACCACTAATAAATTGCGACTGAATGCGACTGAAAATATTTTATAATAAAATTACTATAAAATATTGCGACTGAATGCGACTGAAAAATTATTAATGGTCCATAAATTATGAAATTAGCTGTAAAGAATTCTAAATCATTAATCAACCTAATTAAATTTTTTAAATAATTAGTAAAGTTATTAATTCAATTAAAATTTTCTTATTTATTACAATTATATGTAATAAAACATTTAAAAATTACAATATATAAAATATAATTTTATTTTTAACAAAAGTTATTTAATAGCTTTTGAATTATGAATGATATTATATTTTGCATTAATAAATGTAATTATAAGAATATAAAGTTTTAATATAATACTAAAAAAAAAACTATAAATTCTATCTTATTTTTACAGTTAATAGTACTTAAGTAGGGTAAAAGGTTAGAACTAATTAATTTTTTAACCAGTTAATTAATAAATTAAATAATTATCTTATTAATTGGTTAAAGATTTTCTTTAACCAGTTAAAATAATTAAATTTGATTTTCAGTTTGAATTAAGATTTTTTTGATTATAAAAAATTTTGCTAACTTTATTTAAATTTATAATATTTATCTAAATTAAATTTAAATAATTAATAAACCAATTTAAAGAATTTTTGAATTAATTATAAATATTCTTTCAACAGATTTTTCTTTATAAATTATAAATAAATATTTTAAATTTATAATTAATTTAAAAACTAATTTTAATCTATTTAAAATTAATCATCAAATTAAAAATATATGCTAAATTAATTTTGTTTTATATTAGTAAAAAAAGTTAAATAAAATATGCTAACCTTATATAAAAAGTATTATCTATAATAAATAGTATTATTATCCAAAACTAAATTCTATAGTTTAGATTTACTAAAATCAATTAATTAAATATCAACTCTAGTTTAATTTATAACTAAATTTACCAAAACTAGTTTTGCTAATTAAAACTAATTTTTAGTAATTTAAAATAACATTTATAATTATAATTATAAAAAATATATATATATATTTTAATAAGAAAATTTTAAAAATAAAGTATATTCATTATAAATTAAAAAATAAATATTATGAGATACTATGCTTTAATATAATTATGTTAAAGCATAATAGCTCACTTAGACTAGGTTATAATATTACACTATAATCTAAATACTATGTTATGATCTAAATATTACATTATAATCTGAATATCACACTATAATCTGAATATCATGCTTTTGTCTAATAGCTATGACCTAATTACTACACTTTAATCTGAATACACAACCTAATTATCACTCTTTAACCTACCTGCTTTCTTTTAATATTATATCCTTCCTGCTATTTGTGATTTTCTTTTATTTATGTTTATATTATCATACTATAATTTAAATATCACCTGCTTTTTATTCTAAATACCACACTTTGTTTCTTGTTTCTAAATCATTTATATGCCAAATTCTATATTTGAATTGTTAACCTTCTGTAGCTATTTGAATACCTGGTTTTATATAAAAAATACTAGCCTTCTGTATCTATTTAGATGCTAAATTCTATATTAAGATGCTTATCCTTTACACTTATCTGTACCTGATTGAAAGTTAGCTTCTATATTAAGAATGTTAAACCTTTACGCTAGTTTAATTACCAGACTTTTTGTTGAGAATGCGCACCTATTTGCTTACTTTTCAAATACTAAAATAGTATAAAAAAGGTCAGATTTAAACACAAAGTGCCAAACTTGTAATCTATATTTATTTCACAAAGATGTATCATATATTTGCAATCCTATCATATTTGACCCATTCAATTGTTAGGTTGAAATATAAAATGTTAATTTTACAATCCTAGTATTTTTTAAAAATGTATTACAATTCTATATTTTATGATCCTTTTAATTGTTGAGAATAAAGCATAAAATGCTGAATTAATTTAGGCTTCATAGTTTTCATACTCTTTTTTTCTTGTATTCTTCTGAGTATTTTCATCTTTTCAATCTCTTTCTTGCCTATCATAAGTAGTATTCCAAAGCATAATTCTTATTTATTTTCTATATAATTCTACCTTAGGATACTATCAAATTTATACCTTATTTTACGCTGCTGCTTTTCTAAAACTCTTTTTCATATAGTTGCTACTTTATAGTATACCTATATCTGATTACTTTAGATTATTACTATATTGATTACTTTTAAATACTATCAAAAGTTTACTCTATTTTTTATTCCTATATTCCTAAAACCTTTTCTAGTATAACTAATACTTTTAGTACTACTACATTAATATTAGAATCAATCATATATTTTTTTTATTTTGAGATTACAAATTTTTATATAATTTTATACTTGTTTCTTATATATACTACCATGCTACTTGCGTAAAAAAATTTCAAACCTAATCTTGAAGAAATAAATGAAATAATAAAGTTCTTTTCAAATGTAGCAGATCTTGATTTTGA